AAATTTAAAAAATAATGAAATTATCGTTAATTTAAAGCGATCAGTATTGTACACAGATTAATGAAATTAATCAGACATGAATGGCAAATGCTGCACGATAGATGCGAATGGACATCGTAATCTTTCAGAATATGCAATTATAGGGAAAAATGAAATATCGAGAAATTATTAGATAACTTTCGAGCGACTGAAATATATGTTTGATTCCATCTATTTCTTTCGTCTCTTATTTATCAATCCAGTATTCATTTATCATTCATTTTAGCATTCACTCTTTAAAAAACAAACAATTCTCTTCCCAAAAGTTGCGGCAAAATAATATTTACAAACCTTTGTACAATTCTTCAGATATATCGATTTGAAGACTCCAAGTATTTTCATTTCAGAGAAATGTACATCGACGGCGCGAGAAAACGAAAGACAAAATTATTGCGACGGCTTAACGGCTTCGTAAAATCGCTAAGGCCAGCCACACCGAGCATGTCTTACCAATGTACCGTTGTACGTGGCAAACGAGGGCGAATTCTACGGGGCCTGTGATATTGTGAATTTTCGTCGCAGCTATTTGCTTCGCCAGTTCGTCAAGTGCGGTCTGACGTAGATTCAAGAGGAAACCGTGCGTGTGGTAAGCTCTGTACAATTGCTTCAGGTCTCTCTTGTCTATCTGGCGTGTCATGTCGCGCGGGATCTCGGAGACGAAGCTTCGCAGAACGCTGACCGCGTGACGATTGAATATCGTTGTCAAGCCAAGAGCGCTGCGCCAACTAGACAGCCTGTCTCGCAGATGTTGCTCCACTTCCGATGCGCCTTCCTTTTCCCGCGCGTCTTCCTCGGTCGTCACTGTCAGCTCCAACGTTTGAACGGATCGATTGCTGGCGACCGATGTGGCGACAGGCGCGAGTGGCCGCCAGTCTTTGCTAATCGCCACGTTGTATCTCAGATTGTGAGGCAGAATGGATTTCTGCAGATTTTCCCATATCTACAACAGAGAAGGTATCACTGTAAGAAAGAAATCCCGATAGACCTCCCCCCCCCCCTCCCCCAAGCCTGCGGAGACAGATTTTGAACGGATGTAAAAACCGCGTATCAGTTTTTGGGAAAACTGATTGATCATTTTGTATACTAACACCAGATTGGTTGACCAAACGAGACACCTTCATTAACGAACAGCGGCTGTCGCTTAATTGATAATGATCCCCGATCTCGGGATCCCATAGGACGACGTCGTTTTCCTCGATGCTCAAAACATACGCGGTCCAGCGACTTATCTGCGAGGAACCTGCGATGTGCATTTTCTGATAAGACATCGTATCCCAATCCGGCATAGCGATAAGATAGAAATAATGTATAATAACTTATTCTGCAGGTTTTTTTATGCTCATTAGTTTGCTGCATTAATTATATGCGAAACGCGTAAGTAGAATAACATTATTTGAGAAACATTGATATCAATAACATTTAAATATGCAAGGTAAACGAGATTTAATATAAAATATTAAAGATTCTTAATAAAAAACGAAAAGATGTTGCTCGATATTTATCAATCAGTGTTCAAATAAATTTAAGATTGCGTTCCAATTATTAGGATGCCCATACAAGCTTTCTCAAGACAATCTTAAATATAAGAACGAAGCCTTTATCTCTTTAAAAAAAATTTTTTCTCGTTCCTGACAGTTCGTAGGTTCGTAGGTTTAAAGGGGCTGGTTTTAATCATTTGCAGCATGTTTCACATACCTAACAATACATACGGCTGCAAACCGAGGCCCTGCAGCAGCGTCGCCAGCAAGGCCGCCCTGCCGTAGTGGTCCACCTTGTTCACGTTTAGGGCCTGGCGCGGCGTGACCGGGCCGTAATGCATCGGCAAGGATGGCAGAAGCATGGCGAGCCGGGCAGCGTCCTCGGGAGTTTCCACACCGGGCACCTTGTAAGGCGTCGCCAGACAGCGTTGGATTCCCTTTAACAAAGTATCGATGGCGTTAGCTTCCGGGGACTTGGCGTTGCCGGGCTGTTCCATCTTCATCAGCACGTAAATCCGAGTGTGCGAGCGTCCCGGACTGGACTGCACGTAGCCGAACGACAACACGGGAGTGAACAAGGGGGAGAGGGCGATCCATCGCTCGAGTTCCTGATAATTCCTGTGGCCCTCCAGGGGCACCGTCGCCTCGCCGAGCCACTGCTGGCCCCAGACCGGGTGCTGATCGTACAGGCGAAATTTAACGCGGTGCCCGCCGTTCTGCCTGGGCAATTCGAAGTGCATGGTCTGCTGCCAGACCGGCGCGGGTCCCTCCGCGGTCGCGGTCGCGTGAACGACGTTACCCCATTCCACCTCCAGCAGAGGGGACACCAGCGCCGATTCCTCCCTCACCGGCACCTCCACCCCTCTCAGCACGGTGATGGCGAGGATCGTTTTCCCTACGGTGTGGTGCCTACGAGTGCTGGACGACGGTCTGAGCGGGCGACTCGCTTGGAACAGATTCTTGATCGACACGTCCAGCAGGGAGAACGCGGGCTGCTCGGTCACAACGATGTCCGGCGGTTTCGATTCGCGCGGCGACGTTCCGCGGCGAGTCGCGACGCCGATCTGATCCGCGTGATCGAGGACCAGAGCGGGATCGGTCAGTAGAAAATATTTCACGTCTCTCTTGCCGGTGGCACGTCTACGGGGTCGCGATAGGAAGAGGCTGTTCTGCGGATCGTTCGGATCGTTGCTCGGCCTGTAAAGGCACGCGCCGCTCTCGTCGTCCGGCAGGTCGTCGCCGTACGTGGACAAGGAGACGGTGCAGACAACCGTCCCGGGATGCATCCTACCCGAGCCGTCGCCGATCGCGAAATCCACGTCCATCTTGTGGTCCCGAACGCTACGTTGGGGCAACGGCAACGGGAGCACGCTGGACTCCCCGTGTCGCGCGTGCACCCGTATCGCGAGATTGTGGTACTCCGAATTTCTCAGAAACAACTTGTACAGTTTCCTGTTAAACGGACTGTTCGCCCTGCATACCGGTTTCCCTTTAAACAGCACGGAGACCGAGACGATCTCGGGAAATCCGGCCGACCCGGACGGATTTTCACGAAGTGGCGCGTGGACGCGCGCGTCACGCACCGCGATCTCGACGAGTTTCCCGTGAGATTGTTGTCGGGATCGTGGCTCGTAATATAGCGGCTTGACATCGTCGAATTTATAGGGCTTGACTAATTTGTTGGTGAACGGGTTCTCGGAAACGTACAGCCCGTCCTCGACCGACGAGTTTCTGCCTGTCTGCGACACTCGCGAGGTTCTCTTGCTCCTCGTAAGCACGCCGCTCGTGTCCCGATCGTCATCGATTACCGGATACGCGTAACAAAGGCTAAGATCTTGCTCAGTTTTGTCTTGCGAGCATTGCGCGAATCCGGTTACGAAATCGATGTGCGAGGAAGACGACATTATTTCACGATTATAAAAAGGAAAGAGAGGTTGGAGTAAAATACTCCAAAACGCGTCTTCCCGCGTAATTTATCACACGGCGTACGGTTATTATTTATTATTTAATTTATTAATGAGCAATGCAAAAGATTTCTAAACTATATTTCTCAAATTGTTTCCAAATTGCGTTTGCTTTTCTCGCCGCGATCTTGAAACTATGACTAGCATAACTCGCGTTTCACGCGGCCGTCTCGTTGACATTTGTGTTTTGGCGTCCTTAGTTTCCATGGCAACAGCTTTGTAATGACAAGCTAAAAGACAAACAGCGACATCTCTTGCATCCGACGATGGACCCGGGGATATTTGGAAAAGTCGATAAACATTATCGACTGTAACTGCGCAATTGATAAATGCGCAGCGCGCATTTTGACGGTAACAGCGATCAAGGAGAGACGCATAAAGAGAGAGAGAGAGAGAGAGAGAGAGAGAGAGAACGAGATAGAGAG